TAGTGGGGGATATCTTTCTCTCTCTAGTTCATTGCTGTTAGGATTGGTATACTCCTAACCTCAATCATAATATTTTTTTAGACAAGGAAAGATTTCCACAACTCGCCAATAAGATAAATAGAGGTAGGTATCCACCACATTCTCCATCTCTATTTGCCGTAATTTTACAGATCGGCGGGCAATTCCAGGTACGTGTAGTTTATAGTTCATTGACTTCGTCAGGTAGAGTACAGAAGAATGAGTAATAAAATTGGCACACCACATAGGTTAGGTACAATACTTCAAAATTATAGACAGTATCGATTTTAGGATGCCCAAAGATGAAAAAATAGCAAATAAAAAATCCAGGTCCGTATTTAAAAAAAGTGAGTAGATGCGCCTGAAGAAGAAACGTCGAATTTTAAATTTAGTAGCACCATCTTCTGAAGTGGGAAAAGTAACAACAATTAAGTGACATTTACTTTACCATTTCTCTTCAAATAAGCCCAGGAAAAAATAAAGACCATTTTACAAAATTTCGGTTTTCTCCGAATATCTCCGGAAGTATTCGGGATCTTTCTGATTTCAGAACGGCATTCTATCGGTCATAAAATTGCGCAACTTTGCCATAATTTAACCGACCCCGTATCCCTTACGGTTTCCGGGATCCCAATTCCCAAAGATGATGCTCAAATTTGGGCCACCCTGTACAATGTGCTCTCTTGAAAGGCTTCTTTCAAGGCTTTCTTGGGCACAGATGTTTATGGCCAGCACCTCAGCTTGGAATAATGTGGGCTTTTTACCCATTGCTGAGGAAAGTTTAAAGTTTGATCCAGTGTCATTCCCAGACCGACTCCTTCCCTAGCTTTGAACCATCTGTGTGCCACAGATTCGTTTTCCGCTTGCAGTAGCTTTGCCTTCTTTCACAACCACTTCATATGGAATGTCAAAGACCAGTAATGTTATCATATGATCTGTTGGTTTACTTAGGCACTCGGGCCTTATTTAGATTGAAAAAACATGTGGTATCTTCTACTTCATTTCTTTGAAGCATACACTCGCAAGTATTCGTATGATATGGAGTAAATGCTTCTAAAGTCCGTCGATTTTAATCTGATACTCCAAAGGAATGTGAGCTGGTGTCTCCCTACATTGGAACGCCAAGGGACATCTGACGTCACACCTGTTTTTGCCATAAGCTTCACCCCCTCGCTTCTCATACGGAAAGTGTCAGGTTAAAAACGACAGACAATACTTATACCTTTCACTTGAAGCTTTTGCTTACAGCCAGTTTCATAATCAAACTTTAAAAGTTAAATGCTACTTTAAAAAATGTTGGTGTTTCATAATACTTTAATGTCACTTTAAAGCCACTTTAAGTTAAAGGGCCGATTTCCAGACTTTTATCCAACTTAAAGTGCTATGTAACCTCAAATTCGCACCAAGTCGCTAATTTGCTACTTTCTCAACATTTTGTTTTGTCTGTTTTCAATATCAATAAACTGTCGACGTTATGAACCGGTACCAAGGAATATTATCTTCATCAAGTTCAAGTTCATCTGATGAGGAGAATCCGGAAATATTTTTAAGGAGAAGAAAACTTATATAGAAAAAGAGAAAACAGATTCAATGGCTGTGCTGATGTTGATACCTCTTTATTTCTCTTTCAACTATCGGACATATGATTATAATGCCAACAAATAAGTCAAAATTTTCATATTTTCAAAGAAAGGAATAATATGTTCTTCAGGAAAGATTTTTCAGAAGTGGAAGTATTTCCCCAATAATCCAGTTTCTTCATACACTACGCTACTACTACGCAACAGAAAGTTTCTTAATTGCAATGGGAGATTTTATGGGGGTGCCAAAAGCTTCAGCATGTCGAATAGTTAAAAGGGTATCAGAAGCAATTGCAACTCTAAGGCCACGGTTCATTAAAATGTGGAGATAACCAGGAAATTGTAAGCAGTGCTGCTGAGTTCTACTAATTAGCTAGTTTCCCTAGAGTGATTGGAGTGATAGAATGCATGTTAATAAGGATAAAATCACCAGGTGATGATGCAAAAATATTTAGAAGCTTTTTAGTGTTTTTTGCATTGAAGGTTCGGACAATTTCAGATGCTAATCTGAAACTTTGAAACAATGTCGCTCGCTGGCCAGGTTCTACGTATGACCAGACAATATTTAATAATTCACTAGCAAAAAGGGAATTCCATCCAAGAGAAGTTCCTCCTCTGTAGAGAAATTATCACCTCTTCTTGATTTATTACTGGGCATAGCAAAAACAGGGATGAAAATGAAATAATAAACACTCAATAACACTTTAAGGATTTTTTAGCGACTAACCGTTTGTAACCGTGTTATAAACGGTACCTGAAAATATGATGTACTTTCAGTTACCGTTTATAAGACGGTTTCAAAAGGTTAGTCGCTAAAAAACCCTTTTGGATTACTTTGATTACCACTTGAAACCACTGAAAAAAAAAAATGAGACCTAACCTAACCTTAAAAATTGTGGAGTTTTGCTGTTCTGTCAATTTTCGGCAGTGGCTAAAGTATCGATTTTACTTTAGTTAAAAGTTTGGATGGATATGATTATGAAACACCCCAACTTTAGCTCTCTTTAAAGTCGACTTATACTTCTACCTTTTGTTTAGAAGTCAATGCTCTATTTTTATTTATACTTGGTTGAAAAACTGCAAGTATCTCTCTTTGTTGATTTCAGAAGATCGAAGATCAATTAGAGAGTTGAGACAGAAAGAAAGACAAGAACAGGATGTCTGAAGACAAAGATAAACGAGAAGAACAAGGCCGGCTACCAGCAGAAACATTTTTAATTTAAACAATAATGGATTCAAAACGTATTCTCTGAGGAACAAATTAGACTCGAGAAAATCTTGGCAAGATAATAAATACAAGGATTCAATGGAAGAAGTACATGAGGAAGTTAAGAGTTTTCGTCAGGACATTGGGATTGCTCGCCAGAAAGTTGTAGCTTTCCGCCAAAAAATTTATAGTGTTTAGAACAAAATTAAAAACTTGGAATTTAAGGTCAGATCAGGAATTGTCTCAGCTTCTTCTGCATTCGGTATTGAAGTTCAACCACCACCATATGACGGTCAAACATCATGCTCGAATTACCGATAGGTAGACTGTTGCAATGGCTAAAAGTTGGAGCATTAATGACATGACTACAGGCTTGATTGTAGCCTTAGAGCTTCCCAACAAAATGATAGTGGACTTGCTGATGCGTTGAAGCTTTATTATGGGGATCAACATCGACGGCAGCTTTACTAGTTACAGCTAAGAACAAAACAACAGGAAGCTGTCGAAAGTTTACGAGAATTTGGAACCAATATTTGGTATTTGGTTTACCAGGAAGCAGCTGAGATCTCACTCTTCTGATAATTCTCCAGCCATTCATTGGGAAGTTGTCACAATAAGATCAGTCAGTCAGAATTCAGCAACGTGGAAGAGTTTCTGTTAGACACAATCGATTTGAAAAGCTCAGTTCCGAATAACTCGGGACAGATCAGTTAGAAGACAGTGAAATCTACCATCAACATGTCAGTCAGCAAGAAAAAGGTGGCGTCTTTTAGTTTCCTTGACCTCAGTCCATGGGAAGAAGAATCACACCTTCATGCCTGAAGGTAGACTTGGAAGAACAGGAAGGTATTTATTTGACAGGCATCGAGATGTTAAGCCTATGAAATGAAAACTTAGATATAAAGATGACTTTATTTCTATATGGTTCTAATGACTTGGAAAGAAATAGTACTGCTGGTAGTGGGCAGGTGAAGAATGATACATGAAATCATTATGGATATCAGTAGAGTTATAGACGTGGATGAGAAGATGGTGCATAGAGAATGGGCGTAGGCTTATCAGGAGAATAAATAGTGAGTTCTGGACGATCTTATTTTATAGAAGAGAGCAGTGTTCCAAAATTGCATTGTTGCGAAAGGCCGACGCCGTTGTTAACTCGAGCGCGAATAAACAAGAAGTCAAGTGCTTGTTTTGAATAAATGTATTAAAGCGGTAATTTGTAAATCAGTAAGTTACATTAGTTGTATACAGTCAGATAAAACGGAGATGTAGTGAATTTTGTAAGGTCAGTTAGTTCAGTCTGTTATTGTTAGTCAGGAGAGTAGGAGAGTTTTTATTTAACCCGCTGAATTTTTTTTATTGCAGGTGTTAGTAATACCGTCTGCTGAGTCAACTCAATATTCAGTCAGATGACTGGAAAGAAGGTACTATTTTCTCTTTACTTCGTGCAATCGTTGAATAGGTTCTGTTTGATGCGCTATTTGTTGAAGCCTTGTTGAAATGAATTAAAGGGGGTGTGACCCAAAAAGACAATTTTAGTTTATTAAATTAGGAAAAAATATCTAAGAACTCCCGTGAAAACCACACTTCTCTGCTCAGAATAGTACCGGAGATAATCCCTCATGCAGATACTGGGCTTGAGCCTGGTGACTTCACACCAGCGAATTGCCAGAAGCGGCAAACGAACCCTATACGTTGAGTTGTCGCGTGTTCTGCTCTAATCATGTCATAACTTGTTTATTTGTTTAGAAAGTGATCAGTAATAGTTTTTAGCAAGTGTTATTTTTGTGTTGGAAAGCGAACAATGGTTAATTGTTATGTGTTGTGGGTTGTAATAACAACCGCAAAAACTCTTCAGCGACGCTCCATCAATTCCCTAGCAACGAGAAAGAATCAAAACGTTACAAAGTCTGGAAAAACCGAATCAATCATAAAAATGTCTATCCAAATTCAAATAGCATCGTATGTAGCTCGCATTTCAAGGAAGAAGATTTTGCAAACAATTTAATGCGATCATTGCTACCGAATGAAAAAATTAAAAGCTTCCTAAAAAAAATAGCCGTCCCTAGTCTTCTGCTAGGAAGTAAACCAAAAAAAATTGCTGTTTGTCTGAGAAAATCTAAACACATCCGTAAAAACTTATAGCACAGACTCAGATTGAGATCTATAAACAAATAGTGCCTCAATCGAAGGAAATGTCTAATGCGAAGCCTATTGATTTATTGGATGAACCCATGGACAAAGACAAATTTGTCAATCGAATCGTAACTGAAGAAATAGGTATTCAATGTGAGCTAGGTGAAGAAGTGTATCACAAATATTCAATGCTTCATTCTGATAATACATCAATTTATTCTTTCGAGTTAACTTTTCCTAGCAATGACCGAGGCAGTGACACTGATACTGAGAAGAAAAGTATCAGTGAAACGAGTGAAAAAAAAACGAGATGACTGCATAAACGACTGTAGAAATGATGAAGAAATTATAGAGAGCAGTGAAATAAAATCATTTTCAACTGAATTTGAGTATGTGTTGGTGCAAACTAAAGCTCTTATGACTTTTTTTACATTTTGTGCTATCTGTAAGTCCCCAATTACAGAAATTAAACGGTGTATTACATATAGAGTGTAAATGCCTTAGTCAGAAATGGTCCTGCTTTGAAAAACCAGAAAAATGTTCAGTTTATTCATCTGGGGCAATTTTGCTTAACGGTTTGAACTTTCTTTCAGTCTTAAACTTTGCAAAAACGTTAAAACTATTAGTTATATCTAGCAACACGTACTATAAAGCCTGTAATAAACAAGTTTTGGTTAGAGCATAAAAACTGTCTCTACCAAGAGGTAAATACTGAAGAGGAGCTGTGTATATCTGGTGACGGACAGTATGATTCTCCTGGATTTTCCGCAAAATATGTGACATATTCTTTAATGAATGTGAAAACAGAAAATATATTAAATTTTGAAATATTGCAAAGGGGTATGGTTGAAGGTGATTTTGAAAAGGCTGCTTGTGAGAAAGCTGTAGCTGAAATAACCGATAAATTGAGAGTAAAGTTTTTTTTTATCAGATAGACATAGGGCAGTCGGTGTTTTATTGAGAAACAAATATCCATATATACATCACGAATATGACGTTTGGCATCTTTCTAAATGTCTCTAAGAAAAATTAGGTAAAGCTGAAAAAAGGCAAAATTGTTAAGCGAGTGGAACCGGGTTATAACCAACCATTTAGGGTGGCTTCAGAAACTTTTGAAGGAAATTCCGAAGTTGTAGAAAATTCAGTTTTTGAAAAATTTACTTCACTGTTGAAACATGTTTGTAATATTCACGAATAGATGAATGAAAATGGGAAGAAAAAAGCTGTACCGGCCAATACTGGAGTACCGGCCAATACTGGAGTACCGGCCAATACTGGAGAAGGAAGTTCAGGAAATAAAATGGGTTCGCTTCGGTTCTACCGATCTACCGATTATCAAATACTGCAAACAGAAATTATGGATAAAATGTTTTTAAATGATTTAAAACATCCAAAAAATTACTGTCACACGAGCAGCTTGGGAAGCTACCATAATATTCGTCTAAAGTATGTACCCAAAACAGTTAATTTTTCTTACAATGGTATGTACACGTTCAATTCTTGCCATACTGGATCATAATTTTAATGTTGGAAGAAATGTTGTTGGTGGGAATGTACAGTTTTCAAAATCATCAAAAGAGATGGCTTTTTAAAAATAAATACCAAAAAAAACTTATTTCTGGAAAGCTGATCTTCTATAGAACATACTGAACTATGACTCCAAAACTGGAAAGGGACCCGAAGTTATATTTGAAGTACTCAAAAATATTTACAAAGTGGAAAAACTCAGTTTCAGTGCAGCTAAAGATAAACATGTTTCGAGGTTTACTACAAAAAGAAAATGAAAAATATAATTCCAATCATAATTTATAATTTGTTGTTCAAAAAATTTGCAGTTGTTTATATTTTATAACTCAAATTAATGAAAGTTTAAATTTTTTATAAAATGACTTCAAATTCCTAGAATCCTTTGTACTCGTCATTTTCTTCTGGAAATCTTTTTCTCACTTGCCCTACTACACAAGCTGGTATGACAATCCTGTTATTTGTTATTTCTTCCAATTGTGGTCCACAAAAAGTCAAAGGAGAAATAGAAACGGCCAAAGACGAAAAATTCAAGAAGAAATGTGGAAAACTTGACAAAAAGGTAAAGAACATTCGCGCTGAACCCAACAATGAAAGCGGCAGTAAAATGGATAAGTCAGTGAGCCCTCTCGATTGCGACCATCTCAACCCAACAGTTTTTGAAGTCGGAACATGGGCTCAATTTTTGACAATATATGTTAAATTGCATATTCGAAGATTTGCGAACAAAAATAAACGTATACGTATCTATAAACCTATTTTTGACCGTTGTGCGTAAATGGATAAACGTAGATATTGCGAATTCGTAAACATACGTATGGTTGATTTGGAAACGTCGGAAATTTTAGAATGTTTGGCAAATTTTTGACGTGTTTTTGCCTTTTTGAATTAATTTTGACGAATTGTGGATGTTTACGATAGTGGTAAATCACATAAATTATGGAAGAAAGCAGTGACAAAAACTAAAAGAAAAGGGGTGCGAATGCCAATGAAAAGCAAAAGAAACTTGTGAAGTATGTGAAAAGCAAGCTACAGCTGATCCGGTTGATAGCTACCGCTTGCGACAAATTTCAACGCATAATCAAGACCCATGAGTAGTACCGCATTAAACTAACTGTATAACAAACATTGCAAAACAACCTTCTAAATAACATTTATTTCCTACTTTAGTCAAGACATCTAAATCTGTTGATCGTTGTGCCAGTGCCACACGTGTATGAGGTTCTAAACATTCTAAATATCTAACAAGCTCTTTCGACAATCCGAACATATTAAAAGGGTGTTTATTTGTAATTTGTACTGCTTTTCCTGCTTCAGGCAGATCTCAGCAGCAGATCAGCGTTCACTTGTCTCATATAAGCTCATAACTAGCAGCTCCTAGCAGATCTTCCTAATTTTTCGAGCAGGTAGAACAATTACAAATGAACACCCTTTAATAAACTGTCTTTGGGCCGGTTCCTCAATAACAAGTCACCCTCGGGTTGAGCATAACTCCAGGGTGAACATTGCAATTGGGCACGTTTAACCTGGAGTTGAAACCAACCCGGAGGTGACTCGCTATTGAGAAACAGGCCCATTGATTTAGCTCTACGAATGGATCACGGTGGTTATGTCGATGGTTGCGTCGATTTCGTATCTCTGCGTTTTCCAAATTACGAATTGCCAGCACATTCATCAAGTTTTCCATATTATAGTAGATACACCTTGTGATCAAGTAGACGAGACGATAGAGCACATTCTCTGTGACTGCACTGCTCTTCCGCCAATACGCAGAGCCAGATTAGGCCAATCGTACCCATCACTAGAAGAGATCAGAGGCACCGCCTTCGGCGACGTCATCGCCTACGTAGTATCGCTAGGCTGGATGACGAGCTAATGATGACCTCTTCTCTTGTGGAGGCGCACAATGGGCATAATTGTGGCCTAAGTGCTGTAGCATACCTTATATACAACCCTCCCACATACAGAGATAGTAGATACACAATAATCCAATAATAAAATCGCCATCAAACAAACTGACAAACAAAAACAACCTAACATCCCCACTTGACACAAGAAAAACGAATACGCAAACCGAATAAGGCGACTAGAATACCGCTCGCAGAAAAGCGAATGAAAATATGCGCATACGAAACTTTGCGAACGGTCAAAAATTGACCACCTGGTCCATACAAAAATTAAAGTTTGAAGCTGTTTGCTATTACAGCAAAAACCCACATCATTGGTTATAGCATTATGAAAAAAGGTGCTCGAAATTTTTCAGTATATTCATGAGTTGAAACAAAATAGTGTAGCTATTATAGGCACCTTAAAGCTGAGATACGGTAGATGCTTGGGTAATCAAATGATCAATCAGTTGAAGAAATTTGAGAAAATAATAGTGGAAAAGCCAATCAGCGACTCCTGAATAATAGATATGCAAAAAGGACAGTTTGAAGATACATCATTATTGGCTACATACGTACACAAACAACTTTTGTGAAAAAAAATGTGCAAGATTTCAAGAATATTTACACACAAAAAAAACCGTGCGTCAATATCATATATAATTAGAGATTTCGAATTGGAATTTACTGACCTAAATTATCAATGACGCTTTCAGTATTTAATCTGACTAATCTGTTAGGATTATATTCTAAGCCTAAATTTTTGGTTTCAAAAATACCCACTTTTAATTAAGACTTTTTGAATCATTGAAGCGTTGGGCAAACTATTTTGAGCGATTGGAACTTTTTTTTCTATATTGTTTCAATCAAAAAATATAAATCTTCATAAAATTGATCCTAAAGTCTCTTATCTCTCTCTCTAACGCACCAGAGCCCATTATTATAACCGCATCATCATCTTTCATGTTCTAACACCCCTTCCGTTTCTACACCCTCAACTTAATGGCAAGTAGTGATGTTTCAGTTTACAACCCGCTTATTCCTGCCGAAATTGATGATCACCATAGGATTTCAGGTGAGATGGGACCCCTCCATTTCGGCGCGGTCCGTTTATCTTCGGCGCAGTTCGGCGGTGTTGGGGTTTTCCTCCCTTATCCTGCCAGAATGTGTGGCGTCAGTATCCGAACTGAAAACGCTTGATGGGGGTTGCTTTTTCAGCCCTTCCCCTCGCCACTGAAAAGTCCGACCGGTAGAATATTGCGCGAATTCTCCTATGACGAACGTGTGAGAACTTTGACATTTTTAATAATTATTCACTCAGGTGACGGTACATTGTGATTTTTTTTTTTTTTTCGGAGGATTGCTCTTTTTTTATGGTGAAATTGGTGAATTTTTCTTTTTATTTTGGAATTATGATGTTAAGAATGTTTTTGATGTTGATGGTGTTTAGGAGCTGCAACTGTCAAACTTTGATCAGTGATAGCGATGGTGCAGATCAGGATGAATCAGGTAAAATATGAGTAGCATTTTTTTTTTTTTTTTTGGATCAAATTTGCAAAAATAATTATTTAAAAAAAAATATTTATACCTTCTTTTCAGTAATTGTGTATTTAGAGTCATAAATAAAAAAACTCCGGGCCAATAAAATAATTGCAAATACACAGGGTTCTATACATATTATTTATATTGTTCGAAGAAGGTATAATTTAAATAATGACAGTTAAGTTAATGGAAGCTTCAATTGTGAGAAGTAGGTACATATCTAGAGAAAATTGGAAAAAATATTTTTGGAGTATTTAGTTAGATACTATTTTTTTATAGAAATTGAAAATGTCAGAGCTTTGGATTTTCTATATTTATTATAACTTCAAATATCTTACGTACGTTATCAAAACACTTTCTTTCAATTTTTTTTTTTTAATTTCGTTGTGCTTAAAAATACAAAAGATTTGCGTATCATGCAGAGAAAGGCAAATAAAAAATAAATTGAATTCGCTTGCCTTTATTCTATTTTTACTTTCTTTTGGTTTATCTTGATTATTTTGATTATGTTTGAAAATATTTTCAATTTGTTTGCCTTATATGACGAACATTGAAGAAATATATTCAACAAATCAAATGAAAATTAATTGATTTTCTCTAAAACAACATTTCAAATTAAAACGTTTCTGTTCAGCTTCCAAGCTGTTAAAACGACAGACAGCATGATCGCAAACCCATTGTCAGAAGTCCCTTTTAGCTATTCCTCGCGCGTTTCCTAGTGCAAATTCTAAAACGAATCGTAACGCATTCCGAGACATTCTCAGTCAGTTCGGCATTTCGGCTTAAATGTAAAAGCTGGCCCGAGAGTATTACAAACAACAGTCAACAGTTAATAAATTGTTTTGCATTCTGAAAGCTTTTGACGGGAGTGCCTCCTTATTGCAAATTTCGATTGTGTTTCTGTTTCGGTAATCGCTTTTCGAAATAACTGTTTCCAGCTTTAAGTTTGAATGAGACAAATATAATTTGAATCTAAAATAGGTAGGTACCTATTTTTCAAAATTATTCCATCGATCCGTTTTACTTTAGCCCTTTCGATTACCAATTTATTATATAGCATATGATTTCTAAAGATGATATTCTAGAATAAAAAGCATTCGATATAGAGCTAAATTTCTGAGAACTTTAAAAGGAGTAGAGCTTGGATCTCATGAAATATTTAAAAATGTAGGTACTATTACTCCATCGATTTTTTGTCTGGTTTTATTCAATTATTTTTATTTTTTTTTCATTTTCTTGCAAAAAGCATGCCATCTCGCATATAGATTCTATAGGTCCATAGAGTCAATTTGACTCGAAGCACACTGGCGTTTGACCTTGTGGATTCAAAAGGGCGACGTTTTATTTTAATTTTTTTTGAAAAAGGAACAATAAAAGAAAATTACTTAAAATGTATTTGTTGTGCCGAGTTTGGTGTTATTAAAAAAAAAACTTGTTTTTTGAACCCTAGGGTTGAAATTTTGTGGAAAAAAAAAAAAATTATGGTGCCGAATTAGTAGGTAGGTAAGCTCAATCATTGACAATATATTCACGACCCTTGATGAAGAAAAAATAAAGGCAGAGGTAA